CGCGAGGCCAGGGCTGACTCAGGAAAACCTCATCCAACTAACCCGGTGGCTTCATTTCCACCCTCCTTGCAATAAAAATGACGGTTTGTGTCACAGTTGGAAGTGTCCGGAGCACAGGGAGAGCCGCTGCGGTGCTGCGAGGCTGGCCCCGGTGTGGGGGTACAGACCCGGAACCAGCTTTTTCCACCTTCCCAGATTTGGGGTCTCGGGGTCGTCCCCATCTCCCTGCGCCGAGAGCCTCGGTAATGTCTGGCCCCCGTTTCTTCTCGTTCCGCAGTGTGGGGCTTTGGTTTTCTCAGTGTGTCGATGATTAACGTGGCCTCCCTGCTCGGAGTCTTCATCGTACCGTGTACCGAGAAGGCCTTTTTCAGCCGGGTCCTCACGTTTTTCATCGCGCTCTCCATCGGCACGCTGCTCTCTAACGCGCTCTTCCAGCTCATCCCAGAGGTGCGGTAGAAAGTCCCTGCCTCTCTCCCGTCTCCGAGGGCAGCTCTCCGGGCACCCTCTTTGCCTCCACCTTGCCGAATCGAACCGATCCCTCCGTCACCCGAGGCTGAGGGCTTGTCTCAGGGGCTCTGCAGGGCTTTTCTCACCTCTCTGAGCACCAGGAAACCATCTGGAGTGGGGAGGCTGCGTCCTCCAGCCCTGCTGGGTCGTGGTCTGAGGTCTGGGAAGGTGCTGGGAGAAGCTGTTTGCTTCTGCCCCGTGGGGCAGTTTATCCCTGGGAGGGATGTGCTCAGCCCTGCTTCGTGCAGAGCTGCCCAGCCCTGAGGCTGCTGAGATGGAAAGGACCTGAGGGGTGGAGGAAATATCGGTGTAAGGGCACAGAGAACAGCCCGGAGGAGCACCAGCTCCCTCTCGAGTCAACCAACTTTTACAAGTGTTATAATTGCCTTTTACCCCCCCATCCCCTGATTTACAAGACTGATGTTCCCGCAAAGGTTTAGGCTTACGTGAGGTTTCCTGGTGCTCTGATGGGACCGACAGATACATCGCAAATTAATTGTGTTGTAATTGCACAGTTCCGGAGTTGGATAAATAAATACACAGACTGGACACGTTTGGAACACGTGTGCTTCCTCGGGCAGGCCGGGTGGCTTTGCTGAGCCCTTGTGGCTCCTGGGTAGATGAGCTGGATCTGAGCTCCTGCACATCCAGCCTTAAAATTCTGCATTTAAGGTGCAACCTTCCCCCTGAGCAGAGCATCCTTTGCTGCCGCTGGGTTTTGCCCCCCTGGCATTGCCCACTGCTCTTTGCTCTCATCTGTGTTGGTGGGGGGAAGTTTTTTCCAGGCTCCTTTTCAACTCCAGAACTGTAACATTTATTTATTAAAAAAAAAAAAACAAAACCAAACAACAAAACAAACAAACCAAAGCGCCTGTATTTCCTGATCTGCCAGGACCTGAAATGCCCTACGTACGCTCCACCCTCGCTGTCAGATGGAGCATCCCAGCGGGCTGAGGATGGAGCATACTGGGTGCTCAGGGGACCCTCGATGCTCTGTGGCACTGGAACAGCCACCCGATGTCCTGTGGGGGGCTCAGGGAGCAGAGCTGGGGTGCTGGCTCTGAAACAGCCTGGCTGCCAAAACTCAGCTCCAGCCCAACACTAAAAAAAAAAAGCAGCTTGCTCCAAGGGAGGTCGTTTGGTGCGAGCGAGCTTCGACCTTCCCCAGATTGCTGTTTCCAAAGCCACTCAGCACCGGGTTCGCCCCTCTTGAACCAATGCCTGATGAACGAGCAATCACTAATGAATGTCCTCTTCTCTCTCCCCCTCTCCCTCCCTCCCTCCTCTCTCTTTCCTTTCGGCGTGGATTCCTTCCCCTGCCTCCCCTCGTTGATCTCCTTTCCCTCCCTTCTCGTCCGATTTCCCCCCGGGGTGGGTTTGGCACGCACGCCGCAGTCTGGGGTTACGGTTTCCTCTGCGTGACCGTCATCTCCCTCTGCTCGCTGGTGGGAGCCAGCGTGGTGCCCTTCATGAAGAAGACCTTTTACAAGCGGCTGCTCCTCTACTTCATAGCTCTGGCGATTGGAACTCTCTACTCCAACGCCCTCTTCCAGCTCATTCCCGAGGTAGGGTGAGGACTGTTGGGTCTGTCCTTTTTTTTTTTTTGGTTTTTTCTCTCTCTCGGGGGCTGTTTCTCTCTCGCTGGGCGCTCGCTGGCTGGAGAAGGGGAAGGCGGCGTCGGAGGGGAGCCAAGAGCGAGGTCCGGAGGCTGGAAGCCCCTCGGGATGGCAGTCGGAGCTGGCGTTTCACCCCTCTTTGGAAGGGACTTGCTCCAGGGAGACCTCCGGGCTGCTTCAGGCAGAGAATCTCTATTTTATTGCCCTTTTTAGCCCCGCAGGCAGGTCGCCTTTGTGCCGAGGCAGTGGAGCTTTCCAAGCCTGCATTTAGCATCCCTGTCCCAGTGCAGGGTGGTGGATCCGATGCCTTGGGGTGTAGAAGGCTTGGCTGGGGGTGTGAGGGAGATGAAAAGTGCACGAAGGTGTTTTCTGAGCCTGTCCCATAACCTGCGGCTGTGTAAGGAGAGGTCGGAAAGTGGCAGCATTGCCCCAGAGGCGCCGGGGCAAAGTCAGACAGAGGATGCTGCTGGAGACTGTTCCTCAGTCCTGTCCCTTGTCTACAGGCATTTGGATTCAACCCTCAAGAAGATTATTATGTTTCCAAATCTGCCGTGGTGTTTGGGGGCTTCTACCTCTTCTTCTTCACGGAGAAGGTCCTGAAGATGCTCCTGAAGCAGAAGGACCAGGTAAGGCTGAGCAAAGGGGCTGCTTGGGTGGGAAACGGCAGAAATGGGAGTGGGGGGGTGATGCCCCTGAATCCCCCTCCCCTGTCACAGAATCACAGAATCATTTGGAAAAGCCCTTGCAGCTCCTCCAGTCCAACCATGAACCTCACCCTGACCGTTCCCAACTCCCCCAGATCCCTCAGCGCTGGCTCAGCCCGACTCTTCAGCCCCCCCAGGGATCCTGGGGACTCCCCCCTGCCCTGGGCAGCCCATTCCAACGCCCAACAGCCCCTTCTGCACAGAAATCCTTCCTCAGAGCCAGTCTAAATCCACATCGATGCCATCCCAACGCTGCTGCCCGCCTGCTGACAGCCCCTTCCCTCCTCCTCATCCTCTTCTCCTGCAGGGGATTTTGTCATCCTGCTGAACGCCGGCATGACCATCCGCCAAGCGCTTTTCTTCAACTTCATCTCTGCCTGTTGCTGCTACGTGGGCTTGGCCTTTGGCATCGTGGCCGGTAGCCACTTCTCTGCCAACTGGATCTTCGCTCTGGCCGGGGGGATGTTTCTGTACATAGCACTGGCTGACATGGTAAATGAGGAGCCTGGGGGGGGGAACTGCTTGGTGTGAGGCTGGGACCTTGCCAGGGTTTGGTGAACCACAGAATGGTTTGGGTTGAAGGGACCTTTCAAGGTCATCTAGTCCAACCCCCCTGCCATAGGCAGGGACACCTTCCACTAGACCAAGTTGCTCAAAGCCTCGTCTAACTTGACCTTGAATGGTTCCAGGGATGGGCCATCCACAGCTTCTCTGGGCAACCTGTGCCAGAACTTCTTCCTTCTGGATAGTCTAAATCTACCCTCTTTTAGTTTAAAACGTTACCCCCGTTGTATCACCACACGCCCTGGCAAAAAGTCTTTCTCCATCTTTCTTGTAAGCCCCTTTTACATATGGAAAGGCTGCAATAAGCTCTCCCTGGAGCCTTCTCCAGGATAAACAACCCCAACTCTCTCAGTTTTTCTTTATGAAAGGGTGAAGCCCTCTCACCATTTTCATGACCTTCCTGTGGACCCGCTTGAGCACGTCCACGTCCTTCTTATGCTGGGAGCCCCAGAGCTGGATGCAGTGCTCCAATTTTTGTTTCTTTCTAGCCTGGTTAGGAGGAGCTCTGGCTTCCCCGGAGGCAAGGCTGGCACGGCGAGCACAGGGGGGTGTTTGCTCTGCCCCGCTGGCCAATCTGTGGTGGCCACTGTCTCAGCTTTGCTTTGCCCCCTGGGCTGGTGGCGCAGGGGACCATTTGCCGGGGTGGGAAGCTGCAGGGAAGGATGGAGCCAGTCCTGTCGCTGAGTCCTGCCATTGCTCTCTCTCCCCTCCCTCTCCTGCAGTTCCCTGAAATGAATGAGGTGAGCCGGGAGGACGAGCAGAACGGCAGCACGCTGATCACCTTCGCCATCCAGAACGCGGGGCTGCTGACGGGGTTCACCATCATGGTGCTGCTCACCATGTACTCTGGCCAGATCCAGATCGGGTAGGACCAGCCCGACTCACAGCTCTCTTCCAGTTTTTTTTCCATTTTTTGTTGGGGTTTTTTTTGTTTTTTTTTTTGGGGGGGGTGGGGAAGGTTTTTTGTTTTGTTTTTTTCCATTTCTTTTCCTGCTGCAAGAATATGACGGTACCTGTGCGGGCACTGACATCACACTACAGAAGAAAAGGCATTGCTTTTAAAGCTATTCCACAGACTTAATTTTATTTTGGTTTAAGGCTGAGGGGAGCTTAATCCCCTTGGCTGTAGGACCGAACTGACTGGAGGATCTCTTTCCAGTGTCATATCCCTTCTCTCCTCATGTCTCCTGGGAAGGATGGAGTTGGGAGACAGGAGCTCCTCTAGCCGTGTTGCTCCCTTCCTTGTGCTCGCAGCGATGGGACGTGACGCTCTCCTGACCCCTCTGCGGGGGGTGCATGATGGGGACAGACAGGGACAGACCCTTTTTTTGGGGAGTTACTTACCAGCCAGCCCTTGGAGTTGTGCTCCCCAAGCACAGAGGGGCTGCCGAGGAAGAGGAGGCTGGAGGAGGAGCACGGCTCACGATTTCAGCACCATCCTTGCTGTCTTCAGAAGAATGTTTCTGGAGCCACATCTGGTTTTGCTCCTGTTCTGCCTCAGCAGCCCAGAACGATGCCCTGGGAAGAGCAGGGTGAAGAGAGTTTGTTGGCTTTTTGGGTTTTTTTTTCCTTTTTTTTTTTTTAATTTAAAAAAGCACATTCTGGGCGTCAGCGCTCGGAGCAGAGGACACCCAACTGCACCTCGTGCGGGTCGGACTGACACAAGGGCTGCTCGGAGAAGGCCAGCAGGATGCTCTTCCCTCCCTTAGGTCTCTGCTGCTGTATGGGGGGTGCAAACCCGCCCCCCCCCTTCTCCTCCTGTGAGGGCAGCCGTGTGGCCACACTGGTGAGAAGGGCACGAGAGCAGTGTGGGGACAGCGAGTTCCTGCCCACCACGGGCTGGCCGACCAGCAGCTCGGTCCTTAGACCAAGCTCACGCCAACACCTGGGAACAGACACCGGTTTTTAAAACACTGACACTGCTGAATTGCTGAGGTTTGGGGGGTGTGTGGGGGTGTTTTTAAAGGAAAAAAAAAAAGACTGTGAACCTCTTTAGGTTGTGCTTTTCCAGCCTTAGGGAGTAGCCAGGGAAGGGTGTTACTTCAGAGCTCTGCTTCTGGGCTGGTTTTCCCCAGATTCACTAGGTGAATTGACTTATTATCATATTGATAACGTTGCCCGCCCCACCCGTGTTGTTCGAGGTTCCCTTCTCTCCCTCCCCAAACCTCACCCCGCACCTGGTAGCGGCGAGTTTGCGGCCACGCTGACGAGTGGGAGCCGAGGGAGGCAGTTTACCCTGGTGGGTCAGGAGGGCAGACGCCTTCCAGACGTGCTTTGGTGGATGTGCCAGGGCTGGCTCATCACTGAGCGTCGCCTGTGCGGGTGGCCGTGGGGGTCACCCTGCCACCTTGGCTCGGTGCTACTCGGCTGAGGCTCCCCACGCCTTCCCTTCCACCCCGGCTTGGAAAGCCAAGCGGAGGAGGGTGCTTGGGGTATTTTTCCTGTCCAACGTGGCAGCGACAAGGCGCCTTCAGCCCTTAGCACAGCCTCAGCACCATCCGGTAGCGCTGCACCTTGGTTTGATCACTGGCTGCTGTTACCTCACTGTAGTTCCTAATTTGCCTTAGGTACCAGCTGGATGATGTCCCTCTTAGGCTCCTAACAGTTGTCACTGAGTCCCTAGGTCTCTGCCTGTGGAGAAGTGGCACTGCCAGTATCCTCGTGGATTGGCACCTCTGCTCTCGGTGGCTTTGGCTAGGCCAGGCATTGACTTTGTCCCCTTGGCACCCAGGAGGCTGTTGGCTTTGTCCCGTACCCAGGTTTAAAAAAAAAATAAAATTGGCATGTCGAGGAGCAGGGAGCCTTCTTGGGAGCACTCTTCAACCCAGAGGTACCACACGGTCCTCGGGCCGCTCGGTTGATGCCTTCAAGGAGAGATGGGCTCTGCTTTGTCCCGTGCAGTGTCTCGCGTTCGTGTGGACGGTCATCGTTCAGTCACTCTTCCCTCTGCGGCTGGTCCGTGGGAGAGAGCCACCTTGAAGCAGCGTGGTCTGTCCTGGCTCGGGCGCCCAGCCGCCTCTGCAGCACCTCACGGTCGTTACCCGTGCTGCTAATTGTTCAGTAGTTGGAAGGAAAGTGCTATTGGAAACTCCCTTTCCCTGCTTGAGCGAGCCGCAGCCCCGTCTGGCGGACTCGATGTGGAAAAACTGAGTCCTCTGAATGGTATAGGTGCCCTCTCTTCTCTCTCAAGGAAGTATTTTGGAAAACTCCGTATCGCTGGCGGCTTTCCGCAGGGCAGAGGGCAGGGTCGGCGCTGCCAGGGCGCAGCTGTGGCTGCCAGGAGTGGTTCAGCAGATGGAAAAACCTCCGCGTTGGAGGCGAAAGGGGGGAAATCTTATGCTCTGTTCTTTGGGGACCGTGAGGCGCTTTGCAGACTGTGCCTGGGGGGTCCTCTGCGTCCCTGAGAGCTGGAAACGAGGCAAGAACTGACATCTGGCTTCCTTGGAGCCGGTACGGGCCCTCAGCACACGCAGTGGGGATCATGAGTCTGTTGTCTTCTCGTTTCGAGTTTAACCCCATTTCTTGCTGAGTTGGCTTTGAGAAATCTGCAACCCAGAGATTATGGGGGGGGTGAAACCCCTTGGAGAAACAAGGCTCCTCGTAGAGATGGACCCTCCCTCCGCCAAAGGACGGGTGGGAGAGAGCTCCTGTCCCTGGCTCGGGCAGGCTGGTACCCGCCGTCGGGGAAGGGATGGGGCAGGCAGGAGGATGAGGAGGGAAAGCAACCCAAATCGAGTTTGTTATGGATTTTCATCCGTGTTTCCCTTCCTGTGTCCGGTTCGAAGCTCAAGTTTCATCTCAGTATTTCAATAACTCAGGTGTTGTAAGAGATACGCGTTGAAACAAAGAACATAACTTATGTCATGTGAATTGTAAAGTTATTTGTAAAATTCCATAAATAAAATATATTCTGTAATGACGGAGGGTGGCAAGCGAGCTCTAGCTGCAGCAGCCTCCCCGTGGCCAGAGCTGGTTGGGGTGTGAAGGGGTGGGAGCTGCGCTGGTTCAGGATTTTTCCAAGGGGAAGGGTTTGAGCCAGGCTGGAAGGGCTGGGTGATGCAATCCTGCTTTTCCAGCCCCAATTTCCAGGGCTGTGCAGTGCGGCGTGCCCGACGGAAGATGGCACTGACACACACACCCCCTCCCCGCCCCGGCCTGCCCGCGTGGCACAGCATTCCAGGAGTCGCCTTTAAGAGTCGAAAAACCCTATTTTAAATTTATTTTTTTTAAATGTATTTCCAAGCATTGACGTTTGGCTGGAGGGAGGCTGAGGTTTCAGAGTGGGACTGTGGGATATTGTATTCCTCTGCAGCTCACACGAGGGAGCCTGACTCGGAGGCAGCGTTATTTGTGTCCTTGCTTCCCCCCCCTGCATTAGATGGGGAGGGGAAAAAAAAAAAAGCATACTCTGCCTTTTCTACTTCACTTTTTTTTGCCTTTTCTACTTCACTTTTTTTGCCTTTTTATATCCCATTACCCTCAAGCTGCCAGCTCCGAGCAGCAAGCACAATTTTTAGAAACCCCGCTGCAGCTAAGGAAACCTTGAAATGCTGTGGGGTTGTATTTTTTTTTTTTTAATAAATGCTATATTAAGGAAGAAAGGTCACGGCATGCATCTGACTTGCTCGCTCTCCTCCTCAGCGCTGGCTCAGTGCTTTCAGGGGGGCTGTCAGGCAGCACTGCCCCTGCCCTGAGCACCAGGCCTTCAGTTGGGCTCCTTTTTGCTGCAAGAT